TTTACTTTTTACATTCCCTAACATTACCTTTTCCCACTGGGTAGCTGCGCTTAAATCAACCTACATATGAGCATACAAATATGTACATACATACATACATGCATACGTGTGCACATTCAAAATTAACACTACGGGTATTCTCGCAGTCTTGCAAAGTCCTTACACGGTGCATGCAAGCACAATGAGTCGACATTTTCGGTAGTGTCGTTTTTTATCATTTACCTACATATATACATACATAGGTACATATTCAATGTATGTTAAATCGTTTGTTTGCAATTTTCTTGTATTTTTTTGTTTAATATCATTTCTTTATTCGCTTTACGGCTTCACTTATCGAATTGTTGCAAAAACACAACATCATCGCCCTCCTCATTACCTACAAAAAGTGGCAAACAACTTGGTTGGTATCCATAAAACATCACAACTAGTTTGTGCACAACAAGCCAGCCCAGCCAGCCACCAACGAACCAGCCAGCGACAATGAACGAATCAACGAGTAGTTTGTTTTTTTTTCTTTCCTTTTTTCATTCGCTTGCATTTGCAGTCGTTTGTGTGCGTATGCTTGTTTGTGTTCTATTTTGACTACAGCGAAAATGCACACGAGTGCAATAAACGTCATCAAGGTTAGCCAGCCGCTACTTGAGAGCTCAAGCTGCGATGCACGGCGATGAATTGCAAATTCTGCTACTGCGATCGCTGCAGTGAACTGCTAAGCTGCTGCTGCTGCGAAGACGACGTCGACAGGTGCTGCATTTTATTTACATACTATCTTTTTATGCGATTATCTATTACTTGGTGTTTGCAATTTGCTTATGTTTTATTTTTTATTGTTTTATTATTAAATTGCGTTTCAATGCAGCAGGAACCTACAAATGTACAACTAAATATGTATATACATTTTTATCGATTTGTTGCAAAAAAAATGCATAAACCGAATCATTATTGCGGCGTTAATGCGCAAAAGAGCTCAAAATACTACGTAGGAGATAAGGTGCTGGGAATGATGCAATGTCAAAACGAATTTATTAATAAAGCGATTTTAATTTAATACCTACTTATTGCACACGTATATATATTTGAAGGTACAAACATACAAATGCGGATATATGCATATTAATGTAGTATGTACATACATATGTATTTACATTGAATATGCGGTGGCGCATCGATCCGATTTCGTCACTCTTCTTAAAATGTCAAAAGACAACAAAGCTGAGTCATTTCTATAATTGCGCCTTTACGTCTACTAGTTATCTCGTAAAATTTCTTGCCAAAATATGTATTTCATCAGTTGGCAATTCCGGTTGGGTTTGGCAAAAACTCTGGTTTCGTAGGTGTGTTTGTATGTGCATACATATACATAGATAGGTGTGCGAAATCAGCTGTTTTTATCGCGAAATTGCCAGCTAACCAAGAAAAATCATACGATATTGAAGAAAAGAAGCGAACATACCGAATGGAAATGAAAAATAAAATAAAAATTAAATATTGTCAATTGCAGCCCGCAACTATCCCAATTTTCAGAGTGAGCAAAAAATAAGTACACATGTACATATGTATGTGATTGGAAGAAAGTATGTTGTGCTTGTACACGACCAACGCAACGTGGTGACACTTTTCTTCGCCTACTGGATTTTTCCACATACTCGCACAGCGAATTTGCAAATTGTTTGTGCCAATTCAGACGAACGTTTGTGCATTAGCAATAAAATATACGAAGTAGAGTGTGAAAAATCATTTGAGCCGCGCAAAGAAACAAAATAAAAAACTAGGAATAATTAACAGATTGCAAAAGATTTAGCTGTTTGCAAATATTTACATACTTTATTCATAGCAACCATTTTCTTTGTTCTCTACATAAAATATGAGTACCAGGTTGACCGAGCTTTGCTTTTTAAAGTTTTTAAGGTTTGAGTATCAAATACTGGTGATTTCGTTAGCTTTAAAATACATAAAACTAAAAAAATTTGGATCTTGTAATCTATAAAGCAAATTTTTTACTTTAAAATTTAGCTGGCAACCCTATTTAGAAATGCGCTGGAATGTATAGCACATATCTTGAGGGTATACATATGTACTGTGTCTACATACAAAAAACAATGCTGATTGAAATTAAAATACCTTTCATTTAATATCCATATTGCGCTGCTTTAGATTTGTACAAAAATTTAAAAAAAAAAATCTGCAAGGTTTCACCTAAATGGCAAACTTTTTAAGTAGACTCTAAAAAAATTTAATGTTAGTATAATAAAGTGCAAGATTGAAGTTGCTAAAAATTGCGTGGAGTTTTGGACAATTTTTGTCCTTGATAGTGTAAAGCCCTTCCATCCATATTAGAATATTTTTCGAACATATTTTAAGAGATTTCTGCAACCTTGCCGAGTGCTGCCAGATTTTTTTTTATCACATCACGAAGTAGCGAGCAAATGTGGCACGTTCCAGATAATTGGGTTTTGCCGATTTTGTCAATTCTCAAGTAAAAGTATACAACGCCTTAAACCTTAGATGCACTTAAATTTGCTAATACTCTACCAAAAATCGCCCTTTTTTTAAGATTTTCGCTAGTAATTTTTGTTATAGGTCATATATTTTGCAATTTAACACAATGGAACCGCGATTCCTGTCGAAAAATTGTATTACATATATTATTCTTGTTACCATATAGTGTATAGTGTTGGACAATTTTTTCTCTTAAAATTAAGAAAATTATGTCAAGGAAATTTAAAACTACGCAAAAAAGCGAATATGTGGTAGATTTGAGACCTGAAGACCTCAACGAAGTGGCAGATCTAACACAATGTGGTAGAAGTGCGATCACTGATTAGGGGATTTTTAAAATATCTTAAATTTGATACCCATATTATGAAGTTTTAGTTAATTTGTAATTAATTTCGAATAGGTGGCAAGCTTATACGAGAGTCTTCTTGGAGTTAATACCTATTTAGATAACCTTAAAATTCAAGGCATTAACTATATACAAAATTTAATCAACAACCTACATACCTACATATAAACTATTTAAAATCGTTTCAAGTAGGTATTTAAATTAAAAACGTGGTTGAGCTAGGTAATTAGAACAAATTTTAATGTGGATTTTAAAAGTGCATGTAAAAAACCATTTATATGTGTATGTATGCAAGTACAATACACGTGTATTAAGAAGTCTCAAAATATTTGCATGTTTGTAACTACTACGCTATGATGACACATGGTTGTCAGTTCCAGTTTAATTAGCATGACAAATATGTATGTTCTGGTGAAAATTTTCCATTTAACGCTCGTGTGACGTAAATAATGCAGTAAAAATCAGTCCAGCAGAATATTTTATTTTGACTGCACTAAGCACAATCTCAGGAAGTAAATAATTGCTCCACTCCGCATTATTAAACGAAATACCAACTCTCATTACCCACCCACCCACTTTCTGCTTGAATCCAAGATATCCTGGTTTAGAATTTCAGCAGTTTATTATAAAAGAACCCAAAAAAATAATGATAATTAAATTTTTTTTTCAAATTCAATATCATTTTAAATAAAAGCTTGTTCTGTATCGCAAGAATATGTACTACATAAAATCAAGTTACATATGTATGTACTTAAATGGCAGCTGCCTTTCGTCGAAAACTGCATATTGGCACCAATTAGCGTATTAAATCTACATACGTACGCATGTACATATGAATGCTCCATAGCGCCCTAGCTGAGCCTCGAACTAGAAACTACACATTAAAACATGGTTTATTGAACTCACCTGATTGACTGCTACTATTATCGGTGTCCGTGGAGAAAGTGCCGCCACCGCCCACACCACTGTCGCTGCCACTAACAGCTGAGCCATTAATGTTGGTGCTAGTTATTGCATTAGTAGCAGCTCCGGCGACAGTAGCAGCTGGGGTATTGCTGCTGCTGCCGTTCTCCTCTTCCTCCAATATGCGTTCAACCATTTTTTTGCTCCTCCCGATTAGCTCGCTTGCGGTTTTCGATGTGTTTCTTTTTTATCAAATGTGGTTATAGGTTTTCGCGTTTGTCAATTGACGAGTTTTTAGGTAGGTATGTATATTGTATTTTTAAAGTGGTTATGTTATGCGGGCGAATGAACTGTAGTATTTTACTATTGCAGTTGAATTGAATAGAATTTGGAATACGTTATGAAATGTTAGGTTTCTAATGTGTACTACCGGCTTGGCGGTTAACGTACAAACAATAACGTAAGTATACACACGACTGTGTTGGGACACACACTACACAGAATCTTCGAGAACTTTAAAGAGGTAATTTATTTAGAACGGAAAGATTTTTGGATCAACTTTTTGCACTGCCGGAACTTTTCTTGTTAGGATTGCTGTATTTTAGTAACACCTTGTTCTTTATTTGCCGTTGCTGTTGGCAGCAAAATAGTCCCAAAACAACAAGCCCGTACAAAACCCAAACGAAAACACAACTGCACGAATCGTTCCTTATCGCACAAGTCTTTACACTGTTGCTTACCCAATTGCCTGCCGTCTTTACCACAAACTGTGGCTGTTTTTCTATCCACTTCGGCTCGCTCCGACTTGTTGGCTGCAACACCAGTTTCCGTCTGGTCTAGCTGTATCGTCTGTCTGCGTTGTTAGCTGCCTTTATGTTTATTTTGCTTTTTCCGTATTCTACTGCTTCACCTTCCCCTCTCAATTTTCTTCGTCTTTCCAATTACTGTGCGCCGTATGCCAGTCGATCTTCTGCAGCTACTTCTACTTCCTCTTTGCCTGCTTCGTTTGCTATTGGCTTCGGGTATTCGTTGAATTTTAGCTGCGTTGTTTCTGGTTTAGCTGCGCTGCAGCTGTTGGTGCTACTGATGCGTTGCTGTTCGTTCAAAATGGTGGATGGAGTCATCTAGATACAAAATGCTCCTGAAGTGCTGGCTTTCTCCAGCAGATAGCGACTTGCAAATTGAATATGTATTTTTACTTTAAATACTGCACAAGGAATTGGTATCAGAAATATGTAAGCAGATATGCAAGTATTAAAAAATGTCAAAATTAGAATTTGCAAGTTGGTGTTTTTGGTCTGCAGCTATGCTGGCCTAAAGTAATGGTGTGGTGGTTTGTGCAGATATTCAGAATATGGATATGTCCGCAGTCTGTCGAATGTTTAGTCGAGGTGCAATTTCATTTGAACTTACGACCGGGCTCTTCTATAGCTGAATATGTTTGTAATTTAATTGATTTTTTAATTGTTAGCAGTAGCTAACTTTGGTGCTATTGCTTTTTTTCCCCCTGCTGTTGCTCGAGTTTGTGGTGTATTCAATGATACTGCTGTTCAAGCTGCAAAAATTTTGTTAACTGCTAACAGTCAAAGGATGCAGTAGGAGATGCCTTCCACATTAAAACTGTAAGAATTTAGCAAGGAACCCAAAGATTCTTGCAAATTAAAAATTTCTCTATGGAAAATTTTCACTGCTGTTGCGCTGGCCGCTGCTGCGACCTCTGCCGCGGTCGACGTCACAAATGTTTCGTTCGACTGCGCTGCTAGTGCCTCTGCAGCTGACGCCCCTACTACGCCAATATGATTTTTCCGTGCTGCTCGTCGGTGGTGTTGATTTGAATGCAGTAGCTCTAGCTCCTGCTTCTCTATTTTAAATATGGATAATTTAGCTGAATTGGTTGTTGCTGCTTCTAATGCTTTAGCTGTATACGCTGTGGCAGTTGATTCTGATTCACAATTCGATTTTTTCATTACAAAATTCTGCTCACGTCTGCGTTGCTGCTGCTGCTTGGATGTACTTTTGTTGTTTTTTTTTGGTGAATTTGGTGGTAGTGAGTGGATGTAGTTGCAGTGGTAGAAGTCGTCGTTTGGTAAATTTTTGCTTTTAACAAAAAATTCGCTGAAATAGCGGACAAAAGGCCGTTTTCTTTGCGTTTTTCGCTGTTGTTATTCCTTTAGCTATTACCGCTCCATTTTCCACGCAGACTTATCGATGATGAAATTCCGACTGAAAAGCAAAGCTGTATTCGGCGTCGTCACTGGCCGAGCTCGTCGAATGGCCGCCATTTCAGTGTTGCTAACGCTCTTAAAAAGGGATCGAGTTTATTTATGGGCAAGGCAAATAAAACAAGAGCAACGCTAAAGCTTCAATATGTTCATGTTAAAATTAAATAACCTATATTCAATTCATGTTTCTATCAATTATGGTGGCTAATTGTGAGCAGCATTAAAAAAAAGAGCGCAATCAATTATTTAGACATTTTATTTATCCCTCGGTCTACGGGGTTAGCACCACTGTTCCAATTTTCCGCTTTGTTTCGCCATTTATTGCGCATTTGGTGTAATGCCCACTAAACAAAGCTTATACAGCAGTGACGTTTATTTTTAGTTGGTGACAAATTCGAAGTGTATTCGGTTTTGGGAAAGATGCAACCGCATACTTTGAAAGAATTTCAAATGCACTTAAACAATGCTTTTGTTTTTATTGTAGCCGCTACAACAACAACTTGATTATCATGAACCAAAAAGACAAGATCACGCGTGCAGGAGACTAGCCCGTTAGAATCGCATTAAGGAAAAAAGTTGAACGATTTTGACATTAGCCGTTTATTTACATTTCTTCGTTGTTTACAATTTGGTGGTGGCTTTTTACTTCAATTTTCTTCATTTTCGCTTGTGACAACGTGTGTACACATAAGATAAAGAATAATTTAACACAACGGCATGATTTTTAGAAGAATTTGCATAATATAAATGATTTTTCATACGTTCAACAATTTCGCGGTTTTCTCCGTTCTCTTCGTTGTTTACTTCTTACAGCAAAGATGGCGTCGAGATTTCGGCAGCTAGAAAATAACTTTTTTCGTTCTTTCCGTCCCGCGTGATCTTGTGTCTTTCGTTCATGCTTGATTATGGTTGTTGTTGTTTTTGTAACGGCACATAGATTCCCTAAAAAGATTTGGGAAGTTTTGCTGGAGTGACAGTCCTTGGCCAGTTATAAATCTGGGTGGTTCCGGTTACGCAGACCCGACTGTCGTGTGGGTGACGGTAATTATTCGAGACCGAATTTCTTAATCCAGAAAAAATTAGTTATGTCTTTCCTTTAGTCCCTATGTCTAATGGTGTTGTTATCTGGTTGTTGAGGTCCACAGGTTTTACGATTGGAATGATTATGGCAAAATGACCTGATCTTACCGGTAGCATAGCTTGCGACGTAATGCTGTTTATCGGACCTTATTTTTAGGAGGATACCTATGTCAGGAAGTTATCCTGCCACACAAGAGGTGACAGGGATTTCGTGTACGTTAAACATTTCAATCTGGGGCGTGTAATAAACAATGAGCCACCACCATCAGAGTTGAGTTCTGCTGCAACTTCGTCTATTGGATCTCAGCTATCCCGTCGATTTTACTCTGGTAAGTGCATTGAATTTAAGATGAAGTATCTTTGTATACCTTTGGGGGGCTGGTTGCAAATCGGGGGGTGAGGGATAAGCGAAGTTTTATACCTACCTGCCTGGTAGTGATGCTTGGCTGATGAGATCTGAACAGGATGCGAAGTAGTCATTTTTCCTCACTCATTGGTCGGGATCGGCGGAGCTCCGTGAAATCTGCCTGGGCGCTAGGAAGAACCCGCGTTTTGAGCAACTTGTAGGCAGCTGTAGACTTGGATGCTGATTGGTTTGAGCAACAAGGTATCACAAATCGTATAGCCTACTCCCTATGTATTCTAAGGTCAGCGCAGGTATTTTCACGCGAAAATAATCACCAAAGTGCAGTTAGGGTGGAGCCATTTGAGGTACCAGCAACGACAAATGGTAGGGTTCGTCGATAGTCGAAACAACAGTCCTTAGTCGGGCAAAACTCGAGTCAATCCGCGTAGCGTAGCAATGCACAAAAACTCTATCTCAGAAACTGGTACAGCAATTGGAACAACTTGACACCCAACAAATTTCCATGTACACGCATTGCCTTTAGTTCCACCTCAATTAAACGAATACCGTGCCCTCATTGTTTTAGTACTCTTGCCATGTACGCTGAGGCCTTACACTATTTATTTCCCTACTTATGCTTCACTCCAGCTTGGGTTGAATAAGAACTTCGATTTATATGTATTCATTTCTTACCCCTTAAGGTCCATAGACCGCAAATCTCCTCCCCCCAGTTTGATTCATCGCAGTCGCAGTTGGGATAACGGAGTTTCAAATTCGCTGGCCAGTTCTCCTTGGACTTTCTAACTGTATGTGGTGTCAAGGTCAATTCTTCCTTCGATGATTAAACTTGGCGAACAATTTTTTTGTGGTGTATTAAACTGCAGAGTAAATACATATCTGCGATTGATGAATGGGGGCTTATTAGGGTAGAGGGGGGCACGGAATGCCTTTAAATAATCCCATTATACACGTAACTTTTTGTGAAGTCTTTGGGCGCGTTTACCAAAACCAAGAGCGCTACGCCAATAACAAGACAATTATGGCGCTAAACTTTAAGGACTTTGCTACAAGAGTGAGGTGGGAAGCCAGCGGAAGTCTGTTCTTATAAAGAAAGCTATAAATGCATTCCTTTGTTCTCAATTCAGCACAGTAGCCACAACACTTGTGAAGGTGGAGACTCCCGGACAGCCGAGCGTATAGGGGTAGTACGGTATGGCCTATGATTTTGACAGTCCACAAGCTGAAATCAAAGACATAATATCAAAAAAATCTAGATCAACCATTATCGACGAGCAGAGTTATTACTACGCTTTCTACTTCAGGCTAGCCAAAGTATTTTCAATGGAGGCAATATCACCACATTTATACTGCCGAGTTAAGACCGGTTTCTTGGTTGGGATCAAGAGATCTACATACATACATAAGTAAATTCATAATATTCATAATGTTTTTCGAGCTAATTTTTTTTTGTTATTTTCCTATAAAAATATTGTCCCAGTTTAACCGTAACCAGTCTACAATAAAATTCTTGAAATCAATGTGATTTTTAGCCGGTTGAAACTTGCACTTCATTAGACTAAAATTGTTTGGACTATAAAACTGCATACCCAAAAAGTTTCTAAAGATTCAGATTAAATAGTTGAAATTTTGTTAAAAATTTGTTGAATTTTACGCGGGTAACGACGCGGAAGCTACGCAAATTTACACCCAAATTCATAAAAAATAAAGAAGACTTTAACTTCTTCATATGTAAATCGAAAACTTGTATGAAAATTCCACATAATAGAGCTCTATAAATCGATTTTATTTTTTATGAATTAGGCCTTTAATGTTTGAAAGAGCAATAATGTCCATCGTACCGTTACATAAGTAAAAACACTATCAGCTGATTGCCAAAAAATGCCTACAGCTGAGATCACCTGTTTTTTTGGCATGTGCTCTTATCTTTTACAATTTCTTTCCTAACTATTACAATTTGTTTTATTTCTATTACAATTTATTCAAGATACATACACTAACACACTGAACCAAAAACACCAATACACTAACGAAAAACACCCTACAGCCTGCCAGAAAAAACGGTAAGAAGATGAGTTACTTTGCTTATGGAACTGTAGGTTTTATTTCGCTTTTGAAAAGGTAATATTTAATTGAGTATGCGAACCTTATTTCCGTTGATCTTGTTACCTGTCACCTTGCGCTCAATGTATCGCTCAACTATCGTGTCTCTTGTCTGAGTATCCGGACATTTGTATATAGAAACATCATCGTAGGCAATGAGAGCGCTGATGAACTGGCAAAGGCTGGAGTCTGTTTGGATGAATCTGCGAGGAAATTGCTTTGCATTTCCTTGAACTTGTGAGATATAAAGAGAACGCGGGCATGGAATCTACTTAATGGATCCAGGACAGAAGTATTCAGAATTGTAGAAACCATCACGGGGTCCAGGCCACTGGGTAAAATCGCAATAAGAATAGGACTACACTGTAACAGAAATTGTCGCAACTGCCAGCTAGAAGATAGAGGAAAAAGTATACATATGTAGGTGAATGCCCAGGCTTTGCGATTCCATTCCATACAATATTTATAGGTACCTCAATATTTTTTTTTGGGGTGAAATATATTTTTTTACATTCTTTAACAAAAAAAAGAAGACACCAATTTTTTATTTCGTCATGATATTCGAAAATCTCAAAAAAAATCCCGAAATATTGAACTCCCGGAGAAGTATCTTTTTTTTCAATTGTTTTCAGTTAATAAACTATTTGTCGGAGAAAATGAGCTAAAGTATCAAAATGTGCGTAATTATCTCGGCTTCCCATGAGTGTGAGACATGACAAAAAAAAAATGTTGTCTTCTTTTTTGGATAAAGAATGTAAAAAAAACTTATTTCACCCCAAAAAAAGTATAGAGTTGTCAATATTGTGTGGAATGACCCATATATATATAATATAGTAGTATATCCTACTAACATTTTAAATGTGAAATATCGATGTCTCATATTCAGTAAAAAAAAGGCCCAAAAGTTCTACTCTCATGTATTGCCGAGGCTTTACACATCACTGTACGTACTTAGCTACTTTAAGCTGATGCCAGATAAAACTTTGTAGCTTTGCGTGACATTTATAACTTTGCCAGCAAAGCGCCAGACGCAAAAGGTATGCCACAATGAACGCCAAGAAAACAATGTTGTACCGCTTTTTTACTCATCAAAGTTGCTGTGGATTTTAATTATTTTGATTTAAAATTATCAGCAATGTAATTAAGTTTTATGTTTCTGCATGAAAACCCGAATTTGGACGAAACAAAATAAATATTAAACCGGCTGATTGTCAAAGCGCGCAAAAAGATGGGAGTTGACCATCTTTTCGCTTCGCGCTGCCGCTTCAACGATTTATGTGGCATGCTTTGTGCATTTTCATACAATTCATCTTATCTGTCAAAGCGAATCTGTCACGTAAAGCGAAGCAAAAGTTTTATGTGACATCAGCTTTACTGCTGCGAAAGATTATGCGCGCAGATTAGCGGTGATGGCACACCACCAACGCACCAATCACCACAAAGGGGTGTGGCCATAGATTTTCAAGTGGAATAATACACAGCACACCGAAAAAGGATATTAACAACAAATGGCGAGCGTAACAATACAAAAGCACTTTGGTGTATCCTTTAAGGCGTTTCCGGGTATAAAGCGACTTTCATTCAATTTGTGCAAATGTAACTTAACGTTTGCGCAATGCAACTTTTGAATTTATTAGCAACAGCAAAGGCGAAAATGTTGCCAATCCAAATTGATGATGAGCTCCACTTCAAATGCAAAGGATATATCACAAAGTCTTACCAGCAGAATTAGTTTCATTTTGAGAGCCATTGAATATTAAACGCGCAACAAAATTCGCCGGAAGTTTTAGGTTTTTGGTTTTAGGAAAAAAAATATGACAGATCCTAATGCAGATAAAAATGACACTACACCAATGGTGGCTACAAAGCGAGCGCGCGTTGGCGTTACGAATAAATGCTTTAAATTCAGCGCTGTGCCGGTGCAGTTGAAAGGCGCTAATCGTGTGCCAAAATGTGCGCGTTGCCGCAATCATGGCATCATCTCCGAATTGCGTGGCCATAAGAAACTCTGCACCTACAAAGGCTGCAAGTGCGCCAAGTGTGTGCTAATCTTCGAGCGACAGCGTATTATGGCGGCACAGGTAGGCATAACAAAAGGTAGAAAGGAGAATGATTTATCTAAATCGAAATATCGAAATAAATACCGGTGTATATTCGATAACACCGTGCGACAAAAACAAAAAAAAATTGCGAAACGGATGAAGTAATCAATGTACTCACGAAACTGTGGGCCAAATATAGTAAAACTGCGCTTTTAGTTTTTCTCTCTGACGTCAGGATTTTTTTTAGGGACTTTGTAATTAGTGTCAAAGATGTGATTAATTTCAAAAAAATTTTTTAAAATTCATTCCAATGTAGAAAAACAGTATGGGCACCCAATGAAAGACAAATTTCTGTAGAACTAAAAACAAAAATTAAATTATTTGGTTCACAAGGACAAGGATGTCCTTTTAATGAGTTGTATTTTTTTAAGCGAATAAAGTTAAAAGCTCGAAATTTGGGGATGTGGTCGAGGGCATAATAGTCGTTAACCTACCGTTTTTTCGAATATAATTTTTGTAAAATTTCAAGGATACTCAATGATAAAATGAGAAAACGACATTTTCAATAGGTACCTAATAGTTCTTAAGTACCAAAAAAATTTAATCGGACCTTATTCTACAGAGTGTTTTCTTTGATTTGATTGTTTTTCTACATTGCGCTGAAATTTTTTAATAATTTTTTGGAGTAGATAATTATATTTTTAAAATTTCAAAGTCCTTCAAAAAAAAATATGGATTTGGCCCATAGTAATACTGCGTTTTTGGTTTTTCTTTCTGAAGTCAGGATACTTTTAAAGAACTTTATAATTTCAATTAAATTATTACTTAAAAAAATTATTTAAAAAAAATCAGTGCAATGTAAAATAAGAAAATTCCATAGAATTAAAAAAAAATTAAATTTTTTTGTTCACTAGGATGACTAGGATTGAAAATACCTTTTTAATTAATTTCATTTTTTAAATTTATAAAGTTAGAAGAACGAAATTCGAGCATGTTGTCGACTTTATATTAGTCCTTAAAGTATATTTTTTTCAAAAATAAATATTTCGAAATTTCAAGGATATTCAATGATACAATTTTAAAAGGACATTTTCAATACCTACTCGTCCATACGTACTCAAAAGATTTAATCAGTTTTTTTTTTCTACAGAATTTTCTATTAAATTTGATACCCATTACTGTTTTTCTAAATTGCACTGAATTTTTAAATTAACACATTTTTAAAATTTCAAAGTCCTTTTAAAAAAATCCTGTCGTTAGAGAGAAAACAAAAACGCAGTGGTTTCGCGAATATATTGCTTTTTTAAGTTTTCATTTTTTTTTTACTTTAAGATCAGCCAACTTGAACAGAATTTGTAAAGCTTTTATAACGTTAAAATTTCAAAGGTGATAATTCTTATATCACCCTATAAATATGAATTTTACTCCACGAAAAACGAAGTTTGTCAATTTTTTTAGTGAATGTGTTTACACAAAGTATTGACACAGCGAATTTTTTATAATATATGCAAACAAAATTTTAATTTTTAAATTTAAGTTTATTTTTTTTCCGCAAAGCGAAAAACATAAAAATATAATTTCTAAACTTTGTACAAAACTCAGTGAAAATTTCAATAAATTTTCATGCAAATTTTTAATCAGAATTTTTTGAGTATACAAGTTTGAAGTTGCTAAAAAATCGCGTTGATTTCTTTGTTGAAGGTGTTTCGCATTTTTTTCATTCAAAGAATTTTAGATTTTTTTGTATTAAGAAAATTAGTGAATAAAGTTCCCAAAAATATACTTCAAAATTCCACTTTATGGTACTAAAATATAATGGGCTGCAAAACTGCATACCAAAAAAAAATCTAAAAAGGTGAAAAAAATTCTCCGGTTTAATATCATATCTAAAAAAAACTTTGCGAAAAAGTAAAAACTATAACATCTATTGTGAAAATTCTCTCTGTCAATACTTTTTGGCGTGAGTGTATGAATATGAGACTATGTCATGTCAGCAATGGTCGTTTGAGATCTTTTCTTATGTGGCAGCAGGGTCGCTCACCGATATCACTCACCTAAATTTATATATTTTCTAGCTCTACCACAGCATAGTTAGTCCTATAATGTTCTAAGGAGTCCTCATATGGACGAGTACACTAAAGGAGGATAAGTTGGTCATCTTTTCAGCTCAGGCAGTGAACGACGTGCTTAATACTTACATAAGTATAGGGCCCGTCGACATTGTAGGTAAAGTCCACGGCAGGTCTAAGATTTGTGTGCTTAGACTGACTCTCTACCCTCGCCGATTTCATTAGCCATTTCTTTTAGGTGAAGATCGATAGGTTGAGTATAGCATTAAGCACTTCTGTAGGGCAGGATCTTAGTGCACACGTTACTCTTGCATTTCCCAGCATCAAATTAAAGAAGTCGCACGATAGGCTTGTCCGGCCTTGTCTGAAGCCGAGTTGAGTGGCGAAATACTAGTCTTGCTATTACTTTCGCCTGGATACGAAATTCAGAAACCGCGGTGCAATGGCGTATGGAAAAAAATTTCAACCCATATTTTAATTATCTGGGCATTTCAAGCTCTACGCACTCAAAAAATGCGATATCCCTGTTTTGATTTCGGAAAGCATGTCTCTTCACGCTCACCTCCCCCAATGCCAATAAACCTAAATTTTCCACTAATAAATAATATTCATTATTAAATGTGCAATAATCCATTATGTTAACTGACAATTGTTTCCTGAACAGTTACACTGCTCGATTAAAATAAATCGTATTAATTTAAACCAAAGCCACCGCAGCGAGGGTGGGTGCCCCAAAGAGGTGGGTGTCGTAAGAAGCAAAATCAAATTGTCAGCCAGCTAATCGGGTAACATATCCGTTTCCATGTTTGCACAAGTGTTCGCATCAACAATAGTGAGAATATATTCGCGAGCTTCGTATGTACATATGTATGTATGTATGTATGTATGCATTTAGTAATCAATCCACCGTAGGCTACTCAAGTTACAAACTTCTGTGAGTTCAGTTACAAAGAGCTGCCGATGTATGTACATATGTACATATGTATGTATACAATGTTGATTTGGTAATTCCCAAAAGACGAAAGCGGCGAGTTTTCTTAACCACATTTATTTGCTAAAACTACAACAAATACATGCAAACATACATATGTTATGACAAAGGAAATTGTAGTAGAGTGTGAGCTCACTGCTATTTGAAGAATTTGATGTTAAACACATTTTTATTGTAGAGCAATATTTACGCCCTTCCAATCTCCTTTTGTGGGTATATGTGCATGAATATTAGGGAGGAGAGTCAAGAAGAGAGAGAAAACAAGAAATTTAAATACAAATAAAATAAGTTTCTAAAAATCAAATGAAATTAAAAGAATATTTTTCTTTAAAAATAAATTAAATCTAAAAAAAAAGAATAATTTAAATTAAGAAAGAAAGAAAATTTATTTAGAAAATGGAAATAAAAATTAAATAAGTTTATACAAATTAAATAATAGTCACATATTTTTATTGTTAAAACAATAAAATCTAAAAATATTGAAGAAAATTTAATAAAAAAAAATTAAAAAAAAAAAAACAAAATACATTTCTAAAAATTAAATGAAATTTTAAAAATATATATTTTTTTTTTAACAATAACATCAAAAAGTAAATCAACAAAAGAAAAAAAATTATCCAAAAAATAAAATTCATACAAAAAATCTAAATATATAAATAAAAATAAAATAAGTTTAAGAAATTAAATGAAATTATAGCTACGTATTTTCTTGTTAAAACAATAAAATCTAAAAATTAAAAAACAATTAAATTAAAAAAATTAAATAAATTTTTAAAAATTAAATGGATGTAAATAGAATTTTGCATTTTTGACCAATAAAATCAAAAATTTAATTAATAAAAGAAAAAAATGTATCCAAAAAAATACATGTTACATAATTAAATAAGTTCTGAAAAATTAAATGAGATATATTTTTACTTTTAAAACAATAAAATGTAAATATTAAAAAAAATATATTAAACAAGTAATTTTAAGAAAAAGCAAAACCTTTAATTCTCATATACAAATTTAAGAGCACCGTCAATTTCTTCATGATCAGATGACCGGATCTCAACTAAATTAGTATGGGACCACCTCCGAAAAATTATAGAAATCGCTTAACTTGGTCCAAAGTTGTATACATTCATAAAAAAATATAAAAAATATTCCGACGAATTGATAACCTTATCCTTTTTTTGGAGTCGGTTAAGACTACGTATTCCAAAGCAACGTTGTAGTTAGTGCACATTCATTCTAAAAAATTTTAAAAACATGTGACGCTCTCCTCTAATGTACTTCACATTTATATGGGTGGAAAGACATAACCAGATTGTGAAAACAAATGAAATACGAGACGCGAAAGTCAATAAAAATGCACAAAAGTTAATAGACTAAAGTAAATATGAACGCATACATACATACATACTTAGAAGAGAAAAAGTTGAGTAGGTGGTGGGGGGTGGGTATCCAGCATGAAGTGGCGGTTGTGTCGCATATTAATTTCAATTTACACCGAATAGAAGATAATCTACCGCTCTAGATATGCGTATGTATGTATGTATTAACTAACGCGAGTATGTGTATACACATGTACGCATGTATGTATACATATATATTTTCGGCAATGTTTACACATCATTTTTATTCACTAAGCCATTTGTTTGTATTCGTAAAAGTTTTGTGTGATTTTTATACATTTTCAGGTTGCCCTAAAGCGTCAACAGGCGGTGGAGAATGCCATTGCACTGCGATTGATGACCACCAAGACTGGTAAACAAATCGATACATTGCCGGAGGGACAAATCTTCGGATTGTCCCAAAGTTCTTTAGACATTGGCGCAGAAGTTGAGAGTGAGGGAATGGAACGGCAAGAGCCGCTGCAGCGACAAAATCCACAACATCAAATACAACATATGGCTGAGGATCTTAGTGCTGCCGCGTTCAGCAGTTTGAGTGAGGAGGCAAAAAGTGAGTGAAGTGAAGTAATTTAACAGCGCAATTCTGGTTAAGATAGTTGCAAGCCTTTTGTAAGTTAATTGATATCATCATTTTACATATTCGCATTCGCATCAAATGATACGAATGCGAATGTGTACATGGGCAGAGAGTCCACTCTAATTTTCTTGAAATGGCATTCGCGAATGTGGAAAATATGACATTCGAAACATCCCTAATATGTACATACATCAGTTTGCTCGCGCTGCTCCAACAATCGCAATGGCGAGTGGGCTAAGCGCCTGGCGTGCCCATTGAGAAATCCGAGGTGCGAATCCTTTTGTAAATTTATTTATTTTTTTTTTTTTTTAATTCAATCTTTGTTTCGAAAAAATAAAGTTATATAATTTTTTTAATTCACTTAAGTTTTTGGAAACTTTTTATGTACTTTTACATTCTGAATTTTATTGTTTTAAATGGAAAAATATTCTTTTAATCTCAGTTAATTTTTAGAAACTTATTTTATTTGTTGCGTTTCGTTCTTTTTTTAATTTAACTTTTTGATTTTTTTGTAATAAAAAGAAAAATATGATTTAAATTTAATTTAATATTTATGAACTTTTTTTTCAGCTTTTCCTTTTTAAATTTAATTTGTTTTAGTTTTAGAATTTTTCGTTTTAAAAAAATATTTTAGTCTATTTAATTTTTAGAAACTTGCTCTTTTCATTTCAAATTTATTTGTTTTTTCTTTCTCATAATTTAGTTTCGTTCTAGTTTTTAGATTTGATTGTTTTAAAAAGAAAAATATATATATTTTTTTGTAGTTTCATTTAATTTTTAGGAAGTTATCTAGTGTGATGTTTTTTTCCTTACTAATTAAATTTTTAGATTTTATTGGTTTTAAAAGAAAAAGATTTGTTATATTTAACACTTATAAATTTTTTTATTTAGTTTGTCTCTTTTAATTATTTTTTTTTAAGTTAATTTTAAAAATGTTTTTTAGTTCTTTAAATTTATTTTCCTTTAATTTTCATCTTTTATTTTTTTTTTTAAAGAAAAATATACATATACATATGTTTTTTTATTTAATCGGTGGTTTTAGAAAAATGATTTCTAAAAGACAAACAGAATATCTTTAAGTCCTTCTCGTTAGGAAATCTTCCAATTAGCTTTTTAAAGACAGAAAACAACCGTCAAGATAGTTGCCAGAATTGACAACTGTCGTACGAAAGGCTCTTCAAAAGTCTGTGGTGAGTTGAAAGACAGTTACCATGATTGCCCTGTTAGTTTTTGACATAAAACTACTTTGGAATTGGGAGGTTAAAGTTTTACTATGGCTTATAATAAAAGATACATATGTATTTATTCCAGTAATTGTTAGAGTTATTATAAAAACAGAAATTGTATTGCATTTCACATCAGGCACTTCAAAAATCTCATCCACCACACCCACGCCACCTATAATCTCACAGAGCGCTATAGATATGTTGGCACAACTCTTTCCGCATCGCAAACGCTCTGTGTTGGAATTGATATTGAAGCGCTGTGATTTGGACTTAGTGCGCGCCATAGAGAGTGTTACGCCCGCAGTCAGTAGCGCATCCAATGAAGCGTCCAAGGCTGCCTCAACAACTATGCTCAGTCATGCGGCAGCGACATCATCAACAACTGTTGCGCCTATTCGAAGCGCTTTTAAGCCCGTCACTGCTGAACTGGTAAGCAAATGACTAACTTTTAGTAACGAAATGGTTATCCATCTGCTTATCTTTCATTCACAGTACGCTCATAAATCTGCCCTTATTAATGCCACTGGCAGTACAACAGCTACGAGTGCTGGCACTCCAGCTATCTGCGCTTATCCCAAATGGTTTGTGCCGCTTTCCTTCCCCGTTACAATGGGCCATCTATCGAATTTAGCGCCACGTTGTACACTCCCCAATTGCACCTGCATGGATACGTATCAATTTAATTAGTTAAATTGGGGAAAAATCTGCTAACAATAAATATTATTAATTATGCTATACTGTCTATTATTTGTTTAGATACTCGTTCATTTTATATTTTATTGGTTCATAAAGATTGATTTTGTTGCAAAAGAGAGTTTGTTTTGATTTCTGCGGTAAGAAAAAGCAGGTACATAGGTAAGTAAATTAACCCTTTCGTTCACGTGGCAGCCATCGGGCAACAAAATTTTAACCCGATGCTGGAACTTTTAAAAATATTTGTCTTCAAACTCAAGGTTTCATTTTTGCACCTAAAAAAATTTAGAAGGAAAGGGTTTACGACAAATGGAATGTACTATAGGTTCGATTACCTTAACAGATCATGTAGGACATTTTTTTGAATCTATTAAGCTAGCATTTTAGGGTACTATTTTTTATATATAGAGAGAAAAATTGGAATTTAGGGGGGCTCCAGCTCCCCCTGCGCCTACCTGGCTACGCCCATGGTAGCAAGTATTGCTGCTGGTCGATTTTCTATGATGGAACAACTCTATAGAGAAACAAAAATGTTAGATAAGGCTTCTCTATACATATTAAGGTATGTATGTTGTTAAAAGTGTGCTAACTCAAAATTTTAATTTTTCACAATTCAAGTTTGAACCTTTTTAATACAAGTAGATAGTATCGAAAATTACCTACATATCGTGAGTTAATATGCGTTGGTGAAACATATGCGGCATATCGGCATAGACGCAATAAAAGCTATATTTAATTAACTACTGAGGGTGTAATTTTAGCCAAGCGTAATTTTTGTCTGAGAATTCAAAGTCAAAGGGCACAATCATTCTCACCACAGAAGCCAATGTACCCGCCCGTCGCACAGGGGTTCAAAACTGGAATTTAATTAATTGCTTATTAAATGAAAGATAATGAAATTTGCGCGAGACCAGTTCAGCTCTATTTTTAACCGACTTTACAAAAAGGAAAAGGTTATCAGTTCGTCGGACAATTTATTTATTTTTTCTTTTTATGTATGTTACCGCATAACTTTGGACCACGTTAACCGATTTGGATAATTCTTTTCTCATCGGAAAGGTGGTACCTCCAGAGTGTTTAGATCCGATGATTGGATCGTGAAGAAATTAACGGTAATCTTAAATTTTTATATGAGAATTGAAGTCGGTTTTGTTTTTTGCTTACACTTTTTAGAGCAAAGTGCAGAAAAAGTGGGAATTTTCTCCTGATCCAGATAATAATTCAGTTAATAATTGTTACATAATAAAACCTAGTTGACAATAATTGTAGGGTTCGCCAAATCGAAAAAAAAATTCAAAAAATATTTGAAATGTCAGAAAAAAATCCTCAAACTTAAAATTATTTTAGTTCCTAGAAAAATTTTAAGTATGCAGTTTTATAGATCATGAAATTTTAGTACAATGAAGTGCAAGTTTCAAGTGGCTAAGAGTTCGCGTTAATTTTTAATAGTACACAATTGCAACTTGCACTTTTTTATACTGAAATTTAACGGTCTATAAAACTGCATACCCAATTTTTCTAAGACCTAAAAAACATGTTTGATTTTGTGATATTTTTTTTAATATTTCAAATCTTTCTTGTGATTTTTTTTCATTTAAGGGAAACTCTACAATTGTTTTCAACTACGTTTTATTATGAGCATTTATTAACTAGAACTGAAGAATCGATTTTCTTCAAAATTGCAAATAAGCTTTCACTTAAAAAAAAAATACATATTAATCAAATTGTTTGAAAAATGAAAGCTCCAGTGAATTATGAACATTAAATTCCAGTATTGCACCACTGTGCGTCGGGTCGGCAAAATACATCGCTCAAAGAAAGTCAATAGATAAAAAAAAACTAAATCTAACCGAAAAATAAAATAAAATAATCTAAATTAAACACCGGTGGCAGTGTTCATTATTTACATAGATTATGACTTTATGGCTGCAATAAACCGCAATAATGCCGCATTATTTAACCATTGGTAGTTGAGTGACAGTCCATGAAAACCAAAAACAAAAACAAAAACAAAGCATAAAAGTAACAAACAATTATGCAATGCACTAACTCTGATACACAGAGAAAAATATGACTTATGTCTGCATAATGACTGCGCATTAAATGATAACAATTTTATTGACAAACTTGAGCATTAAAAAATGTCATTAAGTTTGTTTGCACATGGAATTTTTTAAATTTTATACATTTTTTGCCATCTCAATGCCTAGTGGAAATTCGCATTATAATAATTAAAAGAAAATTGGCTGGCAATGTAAAAATTTTTTGATGGTTGGAATCTTTATCTTGCTCAACTCATGAGCTACATATATATTTACTATTAAAAAGACTAAAAATTATTCACTAAAGGCAATTAATTATCAATTAGTCATAAAATATAGATATAAATGTTTGCATATATAGTATATAAGTATATACATTAAAATTTCAACACAAAACTACAGATAAATAGCACAATATATGAACATACATTTGCACATATCAGTGATGTACAAAATTGTATGTGACTATATAGTAAGTACAAAAGTATTTAGGTATTTATGTTGCAGTAAATAATCAAGTGCTATCTACTTAAGGATTATGTATGTCACCAAGTACGAAGTATGATAATACATACATACATACTTACATTCTAAAGTGTGCTAAATACCTTGAGTAAGTATGTGTTTAAATGCATTTACATATTTTTCCAGGACTAAATATAGAATAGTATTTAGTGACTTATACCTAAAAAAGATCACCTACAAAAGTACTTACTATATATTGGATTTTTCACCGTGAGATTCAGGGATCTACGACCGAATATCAGGGTTTAGACTTTGACACAAAATTATCCCGAAAAAACACGAAGATACCTGGAAAATATAGCCCAAGAAATCCCGTAAAGAATCCTGAAAATAAAAAGAAGTCTTGAAAAAACTCGAAATAATACTGGAAATCCCGAAATAATTACGATATCCCAAAGATTCCGAAAAATATGTAACACGAAGGATACTGAAAAACTAAAAAAGGGCCCAAAATAGTACTGAAATATAATATATAGAAAAAACAATACCAAAAAACCGAAGAAAAAAAAGAAACGTCCCAGAAAACCCCCGGAGTTGTACTGAAAAGGCCGAAATCCTGAAAGGAATCGAAAATCATAACATGAAAAGCGCTGAAAAAATAAAAGAAAGTTCTGCTATAGCACTGAAAATATCGAAATAACTGCGCAATTCCGAAAATCTGGAAAAATAACAAAAAAATCTCGAAGGATACAGAAAAACACGGAGATTGCCGAAAATAGTACTGAAAATCGCGAAATAATTTGGAAATACCGAAAGATCCCGAAATATATAAAACAAAGAATGCTAAAAATACTGAAAATTTCCGAATATAACACGAAACAATTCTGAAAAAAATAAAGAAAGTAAAAGAAATAGTACTGAAAATCTCGAAATAATTGCGAAATTTCAAAAATCAGAACAAATCCCGAAAACACCGAAAAATATAGCACGAAGAATCCGGATAAATAATGAAAAAGTTAAGTAAAGTTTCAAAAGAGTTCCGATATAGCATTCAAATCGTAACCTTCCTTAAAGTACCAGCATCCGTTACTGTTATGATCTTTATAATAAAACGATAATTTAACAGTTAAAATTGGATTTCTAGTTTAGGAATCGCAAAAAAAAACATATAAAAAACTGAAAAAAGTTAAAAGTTTCAAAAAATACCGAAGCGTTTCATTATTTGTTAAATTTCGAAAGAACAACAAAAACTATCGATAACCGTCTCTTTTTCTGAAGTATCTATAATAAATCCTTCAGTACTTCAGTATTTAGCAACCTCAAATACCTAATTATTTAGCATTTTTCATCTCCCAAATATTTCGTTTACATTTACTGTAGTATTTAGCAACACCTGAATAGGCAAATATTTTTACTTTACTTTTTTGTTCATCTCTAAATATTAAGTATATGAGTATTAAGTATCCAAACAGGTCATTTAAATACACAAATTTCTAATTTTGCCCATCACTGGTATGAATGTAATTATATTGCGTAAATTGTCATAGGATACTAATCAATTTATTTGGGCTCATTAGTGTTTTTGAAAACCATATGAAGAAATAATCAGCTAACCGATAGGTTCCAATGACACTTTGTACTTTTAGGTATCAACTTAACTAATTGAAAGACAAAAACCACAGTAACAACTATGGCAAGAAAATACTTACATACATATGTATACAATTACAATTAGGGCATTCACAAGACGTGTTAAGCGTCGTAATGTCTTAAAGTCTTTGTCAACGAAAAATAACGTTTAAAATGATTTTAGGGGATTTTTAACTATGCCAAAATGTTTTAAACTTATAGAAAATAGTCATATACATATGTAATTAACTTTTATCATACACTGTGAATACCCTAAGTATTAAGAAAACACAAAAAAAATGAATTTCAGCTAAGTATAAATTTGGTAATTTACAAGTACATAACCAAGTGTCCCAATATTCGATAACTTAAGGCGCAACTTTACTTGCATACACACTAAATATTTATCTACATATTTGGACTACATATTTTTCTATGCCTAACAATTTATTTGCTATCCGACATTATCAATTAGATAATATTTACACATACAAACAGCCAACGGTAAATGGTATTGGTATTTTTCTAGGAAAATAAAATCAAAGTAATCCATCAATGTGGACTTAATTGGGACTAGCAGAGCAGCCAGAATATCCAATACATAAATTTATGCGCTTGTGGAAGGATGGGTTATCATAAACGATAAACAACCGAAATTTTTTTTTTTACTAAATAATACATTGAGTAAATTAATTTTTGATTTATCGCCAACCAATTAATTTTGTAGCATCTAACGACCATCGTTTACCCATTTAACACACTGATTCCCCAATAATTAATTAATTGTAGTACTCCATATAATCAGGCTACCGATTTCATACCCAAGTATTTTTTTCAGCTTTTGTATATTTTTTTTATTAGATATATAGATTGAGCGAAATAGAAAACCATCAGCCAAAGCAGGCAGGAGTATACACATGTACATATAAGCTATTTCGTTTGAACGCTTTGAGTAAAAGAGATATCAGTTATTTGTTTTGGGTACGCCTTTTTATACCCAGCACACTACAATACTTAAGTTCGAACTACACACCAAACTTTTCAGGCCTTTGAGGGTTTCGAGACTCATGTCGCCTTACGTACATTTAAAACGTATATGTGAAACCCGGAATGTTTTTTGAAGCAATTCCAAGGAGTTTAGATGAATGCGGACTTAGAGTAGAACTCCACGTCGAGCTTTTGGGCGAAAGCCAAAGCGCTTAAAAAGCTAAAAATTTCTCTTTACTTAACTAACTAGACTAGTAAAATAGAATACAAAGAGAAAGATGAAAGAGGTAGTTGAACGTTGACCCCTGAGGTTTGTGGAAAATACGGGCCATTCTAATAGCAAAGCTTTGCATGCAGCTAAATCCTTTGCGCATAAGTTCCAGGGAGGTGGGAAAGAAGTGTGACTCAAGATGTTGAAATTTTAAGCTCGCGATAGACGAGCAGCTGATTAGTAGCTGTTGAGATGATTCCACCACACCCCAGGTAATGTAGACAATGAATGAGTTCACAGGGTCGTAGAGAGGAATTTCGGGCCCGGGGGGGAATTTTGAATGTGGGCCCCTAAACACACCCAAGAATATATGGAAATAAATTTTTTCGCAAATTTTGATTTGCATACCCTCCGTATTTGTGCTTTTTAGCTTAAGTAGCCTAAATACGAAGTTTTATGGCCGTAGGATAACGAAAACTTGTGCCGATTTTTAGTTAATAGCTTAAACTAATCGTCCATGAAAAGTTTGGAATGCGAAAAATTCTTTTCAATATTTTAGCGCATTTATAGTTAATCTGCATCTTTAAATTTTTAATAGGGCGGCAGGATTTTTCCCAAGGACATCGAACTTGCAATTTTTATCCCTCAATATCCTTACATACATATATTAATAGGGTTTGAAATTTAAGTAATGATTACGGTCCCTGAGTCGGCACGGGTTGCCATGTGGTCCAAATTGCATACAATTTTATTTGCATAGTTTTTAAGACAAAACCAATAAAATGAAGGGATATGCGTTAAAAATAAAACCAACTTGGTTTTTTGGGACAGTCTAATAAATACCCATATATAAAAACGATTAAACATATCTGTGGACTTTTGACAAAACAACTTCTCTCGAGTGAGGTCATTTTCTCTTCAAAGCTGTTTAGTCATTAATAGGAGTAGTTCAAGATAGTATCTTAATGAAAGTTAAATAAAAATGCAAAAAAAACACAGAGGTTGTTTTGTCAAAAGTCCACAGATATGTATGTATGTATGAATGTTTATGCTCTGATATTCATGTACTTAAACATATGTATTTTTTTTGTAGTTATAATCAACCCTTTAACAACTTTGAAGTATCCCATTTGAGTGGTACAATTTTGTTTGTATCGTCAATTTCTCGCCTATTACCTAAAAACGAATCGAAGAAAGAAAAAGAACAAACAACAGCAACAACACTAAGGTTATTGCTTGTGTCGGTGCTGTTTAGCTAAATGGATACAAATCAAAACATATTATTGCCACTTGCACAGTGACCATTAGCTCAGCTAATCGATAGTAAAATTTAAAATTCTAATAAGCGGTATATCACCGGCCGGATTGTTGAAAGCAGGCGGCGAAGAGCTGGTAGGGCGCATGTACCAGCTGTTAAGAAAAATTTGTGCTGAAGAATACACGACCGAAGATTGGAATTTGATTGTATTATACCAAATCTCAACATTGCTGACAAGGTTATATTAACAATTTTAGGCGAAAGAGTGGAGTCCTTCATGCAAAAAACTGTAGAGCCTGTAGAAACCTGTGAGATTTCAGGAATGGCAGATCCACCATTGGCCACCATTTTCACAGTGCCTCAAATCGTGGAAACGACCATAGATAAGTAAATCCCATTTTTTTAGATTTCAAATTCAACTTCAATCTGCAACTACGACGCCATATCTAAATTTGGGGTGTTCAGCTCTGTCTAAATCCGGAAAATCTTCTTTGCGTCGTCTGAAACCTAACCACACTCTAAAAAATCTGTTTAAAAATGCGACTATAAATCGAGTATATTATTGTTTATTTTTTAAATTTTTTGGTAAATTTACACGATGAATATGTACTTTTTTTATTTACACATTTTCGTGTGTAAAAATTATTTTTCTTAGCGGCTTTACACAATTCTACGGGTGAAATCATACAGCAGATGTGTATTTTGTAGCTTGTACACACTTTCGCAGTAAATTTACGCACACCACAGCAGCTATATTACACTCTAAAAAGTCCGAAATTTAAACAAGCTATTCGTTGAATAATCGAACATGTAATTTCGCGAATAATAAAGTAGGAAATCAGTAACCTACCTTTTAGCTAGGAAATCTATACAATTTTTTTTTTAGAGTGTAGGTTTGCGCAGGCAGCATATATGTATAGTAAAAGTACGATGCTGCCGGTATATGCAGATGACATTGACATCGTCAGTATTAAACCCAGAGCCATAAGTCAGAGATCTATCTGAGGATTATGGATTGACGAAATGTACGAGCTTTATAGGTTAAACATAGTGGACATAGTGAAACGCATTCAGATTCAACGCTTGCGAGGACTTGGACATGTCGTGGATGATGATGTAAAAATATCCTTTGACTCAGCAACTATGGGTCGGCATTGATAGCAAGGGATGAACAACTAACGTAACTTTGCAAAGAAGGGAAGAAATTGGGTTAGGTTGGGCTGGTTAGCCACTGCCTAGCTCCGCAGAGACCATTAAGGCCCAAGGCCTTAGCAGAAAAACATAGCATATACAGCGTATATCTGCAAATCAGGTGCAAAGTTAGAGAACATCTTGCTATACTCTACACCTTCGTCTTCCTCTGTTACCAGCATCGCGACTCGCTTTGAATACTTTCAGAGCTGGAGCATTTCTGTCCATTCGAACGAAATAACCAAGGCAGGGGAGCCGCTGAATTTTAATTCGCTGCACTATGTCTACATCGTTGTAAACCTCATACAGCTCATCGTTAAATCGTCTGCGGTATTCGCCATCGCCAACGCGTAAAGGCCCGTAAATCTCTAGCAGAATCTTTCTCTCGAAAACTGCAAGAGCTGCTTCATCAGGTGTTTTCATTGCTTTCGCTATGTGTAGCGTCAAATAAGATGACTAAGTTCATCAAAACCACATTCAACTGCTATTGCTTCATTGCGCCGTATTCATCTAACATAAAAACCCTTCTTATTCTTGAGGTAGTCCAACAACACAATGCCGAAACTTCCTTTTTACACAACAAAACGATCTGCTTAAAACACTGTGCCTTGCTCGTACATACTTACCTTTGGCAGGAGCGTCAGCAGCGTAACACGCCTTATCAGTATAACCCATTGGGCACTATCATCATCGGTGCGATACCTTCAAACCATTATGACAACTAATATTATTAATAAAGATATCTATTACCAGCACATTATCATTGTTATATTTTATATGGAAATACGATTTAAAACAATTTATTAGTCTGCGACCAGTCATTGTGTGCGGTTGGTTGAATTCGGTTTTTGGTTATTCGTTGCGACTTTTCGGCAGTGACTTAATGCCAGTGATCAAAGAGAGGGTGAAACTCACGTACCGGCAGTGATTGTCGCATGAAATTGGCGATAAGTTTTTAAGTGCGCGGTTACGAGTATTACCCGTTAGCAATTATTATTATCAAATTCATTAACGACTTTGCCATTTACATAATGGAAACCGCAACTATGAAATTCAACAGAAAATCATCATTTTCCATCGCACACATTTTAGACGATAAAACACACAGTTCTAAGAATCCCACACCTCCGATGGCGCACAGTAATGCCATTGGCGCTGAACATTTGACACAGCACACAAAAATTAGCAGCTCAGCATCCGTCATAACAGCGAGCCCAAATGCGGTTGCTGCTGCAATGCAACCACGTATCGGTGAACCAGTGCCTCCAACAATTGTCAATCCCATCGCGTCCACGACTTATTCCACGACGCTTCCGCCCAATGCGCAATACGCATTCAAGCACCTGCTGCTCAAGAGTGATCACGCCGCAGCTGGCGGTAGTCCGCTGATGGTGTCGCCTGGTGCACTACGCTTTGATCCCGTTTACGATCCCGCTTCTCTCGTCTATCAACAAGTCTTGAATATGCAGAAGAGCTCCGCATTATTTATGCCACACTTTCAGGCGGCGGCAACTGCGGCTGCGCTAACGCCGTCGGGTTATTGCGAGCAGTATAACCCATTCATGGAATGTGAAGGTGAGTAATTAAAAAAATGTGAAATGTTATTAACAATTCGTAGCTGCAGGATTTTATAAGTGCGGGAGTGTTTTTTTTGTTTAGAAGTTTTGTGTCTTACTAAAACTGAACTAAAAATCCATCTCTGGATCAAAGAAAAACTTTCCTTACTTTAAGGTCGAATAAGTAAAAAATTCTCCCGAATGAGTAATTTTTCTTTCGAATGTGTAAAAACGTACACGAAAATATGGAACCGTGGATGTAATCTATCATTTTGAAGAAATGTTGGGCATGAAAAGAGGATAAAACTTCTTTAGTGCTCTTTCGTTTCCATTTTTCTTCATTTTGATTGCTGTTTTCCTTCAATTAAGAGAAGTTTTGGAGTGTGAGTCCGTTTCACGTGGAAGGAGAGGTGCTTAGGATATATCTGGCCAAGAGAGCAGCACATACATACACTCCCTAAACCCGGGATATATTCTGAAATACATAGGGGCTTTAGGGCTAGCTATAGTGTGGCGATGAACGGAAGTTAGCTTGAGTCTGATTTTAAAATTTTAACAATAGTAATTTATAAACCTACAATAAAAGTGAAGCGATTTAATTCGTTAACGATTTTATTAGATTTAATTGACAGTAAGTCTACAGACTAAATATGACATGAATTCTTTCATTCAAGATTCAAACTGTTATCGCGCATTGAAATTTTTTATGGTATAATTAGACCTAAAATTTCTCCTGCGAAAGTATCATTTTGAGATCGATATTAAGCGATTAATTTCATCAATTTGGTAAAAAATATCTGCGCCGGGTATACATATCTCTGGGTTGGGTATACATATCACCAGGGTTGGCAACTCACGAAACCGATTGCGTACCAAAAGACCAGAAAAATCGTAGTAAAAAATAAAAAAAATCGTAGCAAAAGATAAAAATTGGTTATTATTTTAAATGCATATGCATATTTAATGTTTTAAAACAAAACATAACAATTAAATTTCAATAACATTTGTACTAATTTAATTATTGCATATTATTTTTTTTTTTATTTTAAATATTGTAAGACTTAAATATATACCTTAAAATATTTTGACTTTTTTACAGCTGATTTCACGAAGGAAATTAAGTAAAAAAAAAAATTATTTTTTTTTGAATTTTGTATGGAAATTTACAGAAATTTACATTATATTGGCTTCCCCATTATTTTTTGCAAATATCCCACCTTGTTCTCTTCTAAAACAAAGAGCTTCAGCTATCTCTAGGAATCCGCGTAAATCTACCGCAAATAAATAAGGTCTGGGATGCTGTTACAGGTTAGTGGTATAACCCTGGTAGGGGCGCGACCCTATATAGCCAAAACATACTCGGATTGTGGAGGCACCGTACATGGCACCATTCACCTCTCCACTTTCCTCCTTAAACTTGCTCAACAAACAAAGCTCCCACCCCGTCGAAACAGCACGATTTCCCGATTTGCTATTAATTGAGCTTGAATATAACGATTTATAATAGACTAAGCCGGACTTTTTAGCTGTGCCGTTACAACAAGCATTTGCCCACGGTTGTCTTATATCCATCGAGGCCGTTTGAAAAATACATACATATGTATAAATTTTAACGGAGTCTATACCATTTTCTATGAAAAATAGTTTTTTCTCCATTTAAAATATATGTATGGGTAACTTTGAGCGACCTCTACATATTTTTGGATTTCAAAAAAAAAAAACATGAGTATATTTTTTCGATATAGAACAACCTTAAGGGGTTAGATCATTAAAAATCCGACCTTAATTTTTTCACATGCATTTTTAGACTACCCTAATATATATGACGATTTAAGCAAAAGTCCTCCTTTAGTTTATTTTTGAGCTCCAAACAAAAGCTAGAAGTAAAATTCAAACATGTCATAGTCCACAAATACCACATTTCCGCCACGCGTTTAGTGAGCGGTTATAAAGTTATTCTCAATAACTGGAAATATATCAAATTTTTAAAGGACACTATCTAAAATAAAATAAAAAAATACACGGCTATCAGCAAAATTACTAATGGAGAGAAAGCTAAAATGAAACAAAAAATTATAAATAATAAATATGTACACATCAGTGCTTTGATTACGTTTATAAGAGATTGAAATAATCACAATTTAAAATTTATCAAAAAACTTGCGCTTGTATGACTTATTAAACGTTGTTTCAGTTAAGTGTTTAGATAGCAAAATATCAGATTTATTTTCATTTATAGCCAGTTTCACGACAGCAATTTAAGTGGGAAATTATTATGACAGCTGACAAATGTGAAATTTTTTTTTCGCTGCATCACTGAATATATATTATACTGCTATTCCAAATATAGCCCAATTTCACAGAAATGGACTTAGAAACTTGTTAAAAATTTTTTCTCAAAATTATGGGCGTGGAAATTATCGACAAAATTATCAAGTTGGGTCAATAAAATTCTATATATCGTCGATGGTTTTGCAAAACCGCCCATCGACCAGTTGCAAAAGCGCCTAGATCGCCGTTGTGGCACAAATGAGATTTGGTAATCCTGAAATCCAGGCATCGAGATTTATGCATAAAATCGTTATTTAAACAACAGATTTGTAAAATAATATTTAGAGAAAATACCGTCTATCAAGGCAACGCCTTCAAAGAAAATTCGTTTTTTCGCTCTCTTGTAAAATTTGAGTGCCGTAAGATAGGCGGTTTTGCAAAAACATCGACGATATGTAACTCACTATTTCTTGCTCTAATTACGAAAAGGTACCAACAAATTAAGTCATTTTGGTGAAGTTTTGCAGAATTTTCTTAAAAAAAGTAATAAACATTAAATTAACTAAAGAAAAATGGCCAAAACTTGCTCAAATTTTGCGTCCCAGCTTTTATTTGGTTTACTTTATAAATATGTACGCCCAAATTTATTTTGGTCAAACCATATTCAATAAAAATACTAAAAAAAAAATCTTTTGCAATAGTATTTTTTTCGAATGGAGTTTCAGAGTTGAGAAGTTATGAATTTTTGAAGTAACTCCAAAATGCGAAAACTCAAAAATGTATCTCGGTCGAGTTCAAATGCAAAAGAATTACTCAAGAAAAATAAAATTCCCAGTAGGCCTGGTACATATAGATCATATATATTTTTTCTTAATAACGAAATTTCGTGACTTAAGTGATTTTGAGGGTCTTTACAGTTTTTGGCGGAAGGACAAGTAAAAATCATAACTTATAAATTCTTGAGACTCCATCTCGGAAAAATGTTATTGCAAGAAATAGTGAAGCAAGTTAATAATTTGATCGATATTTGCTAGACCCATGATTTTTATAAAAAATTCCAATTCGGTCAATTTTATTATGAAATTAGGCTGTGTGCCAAAGTTGAGCCAAATCGAAGGCCATCGCGCAGACCATTACCACATTTTTTCCATTTAATATGGAATCACCGTATACCAAACTACCATTTCTTTTTACTATGAGCTACATGTATTAAATCACTAACCATATTTAGAAATTTCTACTTCATAATGTTGCTTAAGTGTTTATGCACGTCCATATGTATGTATGTTTGTTTGCACACTCGCTCAATTGTTTCTTATCGACTTTTTTGCGGTGGCCCCAATGATGGACAGCACCTTATTAATCGCTGTTAATAGCACTTTTTATTTGTAAGATAAAGCAACTTGAAGAAGTAAATTTGTGTATTGCTTAGATTTCATAGAATTTTCGTTGCTCACTTGACGTTGTTTTTTTTTTGTTTGCCTCGAATGGACGCATACTTACAAGTACTAATCGTATTATTGAAGTGTTTATTTGTAAATATTTCGGTGATAAGTCAATAATTGATATTCATATCTCAACTGTCATCACCTGGTTCGTGTACGGTTTTTTTTTCCAAACAAAAACAAAAAACATGTGTTTGTTATTACTTAGTCTTTGTGCAGGGCTCACTTCGTTCCACCATTAACTTTATGACTAGAAAATTATATATATAAAATCTAAGCTTGTATTCCATGGAGTCCATTGTTTGTGGTGGGGGTACCCTACAGAGATGGACAAAAATCTATGAAGTTCGTGAATTCGAGGTAGCTGAACACGACGAGACCATTTTACTTTCAGATTGATCTGAATGGTAGAGAAATCTTGAAGAATACGCACGGAATTCACTATTTCCCCCGCCGATTTTTTGCCAAATTTTCTAAGAGGAGATGTGCTAGGGCATGTCGATTCTCTTACGAAATTTCAGAAGAAATTCGGTAAAGCAATTAAAATGGCAAAGGTAATGGTAATAGCAGTCGCAGTGGCGATGGTAATGTAGCGGTAATGTTAATGGTATTGGTATTGGTAATGCTGAGGTCATTGGTAATGGTAATGATGGTCGTAAAACGTGGCAATGGTAGCGATAATAATAATGATAACGATGATGGTAGCGGAAATGACACTCGTAGTGGTCATTACCATGGCCCCTAAGTAATGCTAATGGTAATTACGAAGCGATTCATCAAATTTTTGTGATTGAAAAGCAATCGTCGTTTAGAAGAAACCCATTTTATGGTTTAAATAAGAAAATATACACACTGCTTTCGTCGTTATCGGTATCAATTGCATGTGTCACAATCATCACCATTTCTCCCCACTATATAACATTGCATTATGCGCCGTTTTTGTTGTAATTTTCGGCACTTTTGTACTTTGTGTAAAATGTGAAGTGTCCCCAAAAAATGCATTTTTCAATGTAACATTGAGTGTCAATTGGCGCCAACACTTGACTTGGATCAACAACAACGGATAAGCAAATAAATCGAGCACAACATGCAAACACAAACAGACAGACGAAATACATACAACAAGCGAATAAATAACCGTTTGAAGCAATAAATAAATAAATAAACGCATTGGTTTAGTGCTCGTA